AATCGACAATTTATTCTCCTTTGTTTTCTACGACTCTTTACTATCGTTTCACCAGGTTGTCGATCCCACGACGGTAGAAGACCTTTTCTCAGCTTTATCCATTAAAGATGAACTGAAACGTCGCCGGATCAAATTGTTTTTACCTCAGGTGTGTAAGTGCACAATGTGGATGAAGCCACCTCTGAAACTAATTTCTACTCGATTGAATTCGACTGAAGTTTGGTTGAATTTATGTCACCATCTCACATTTCATTAGAATTTTCTTTTAATAAAACGAAGTCAGCCATTTCCATTCGGAACTGAACAAATTGGCAATTATTAGACGAGCGTTTTGTCGAGTGTTGTTGTTATGTAGCGTTGCACTGATTGCTGGTGATTCGTTTCTGTGAATATGCTCATCGCTAAACTCACTCAGAGTGTTCATAGTTGTGAAGTCAACGATTTCTGAATCTTACTAATTATAAGCATTGACATCAGAAAGAGACGCTATTGGGAATGTTCAATGCTCATTTAATGATGAATTCTTGTATGACGTTTCATACCATCACACCCACTATTCAATCAAGGCAAGGATTCACAATATGTTATCTCCTTTCCATTCCAATTTGAGTATCTCAATCGGAGCCTAATGAATGTTTATCGAGATAGTTCTGTTGTGTATGATTTCCGACCTCAAAACCCTCAGCAACAGATACTTGTTTTTTTTCTTTCATTTGTAGTAAACAGACCAGCAATCTCTTATTTATTGGAAGTGTCCACGCCTGCAGTAGGCACGAATCTCTTTTCACGGTTTGTTTTACTCTCGATATTCGCATGCTACAACGGCCATGTTGATTTTGACGACAGTGAATTTCGTCCATGCTCGTTAACGACGCGAAAATTCACTGCATCAGTTTCATTCGAACAACTTCAAAAGACTTATCAATCACTTCAAAGATGGGCATGTTCCCTGACATTTGTCCTAACCAAATCTGGTAATTTTGATTTTGAAATAGGAGCGATTACTTGATATCGCTGAATGACCTTAATGAATGAATTGATATTCTCGAATTGCATTTGCTAGTTGTCCATTTGGTCACACTAGTTCCAGTGGTTCAAAATAAACACTTGCGTGGAAGATGACACCTTCGACTGTCGCAAAAGTTATTTGATTTTGCCAGTTTATTATTATTATTATTATTATATGTTTCAAGATGTTCGCAGTGAAGCTACCGACATGAATCACCGTTACGTTACGTGCTTCCAAAATGAATTCGTTGAGGAATATTCACTCAAGTGTGAATCTGCTATCGGTGTTGTGCTTGATTAGCTGACTTTCGATGCTATTCACATATTGAGAAATTTTCAAAACATTTCGGCTATTCATTTGTTAGTTAGGTGATGCAATTTCTAATTGGTGTCCCATCCATTGCAAGTATTTGCATCTAAGTTTAGCATAAAACCAGTAATTCACACGTTATCACACATGTGTCCATTTTACAAAATAAAAAGATTGTGTGAGCACGCTGTACTATTGTTTGCCTTAGTAATGACAACAACAATTGCTTGAGAACAGCAACTCTAATCGTTGATTCCTTCACGGCATTATTACAATTCACACGTTCACTTCCGTTTGGTATCTTGTTCGAATCACGAATGAAAAATGAAGATTTTGAAATTCCCATCAGTTACGCATGTACGTTAACCACTACCAGGTGGAACTGATTGTTTCAGCGCAAAATCGTGTTTCGAGACACTCGCCGAATTTCGGATGCTTTGAAATGCAAAATTGGGTTTGGAAAAAATTCGAAATGCGCCCCGAGAATTTGTTCGCTGTGAAACTGATCACTCATCCCATGGATGAATCTCATGAATTTGCAGTGGGAGTCAAATGAATACGGTACCGCTTTCAAAGGACGATTATGATAATTACGCTGAATTCGTTGTTTCATTTTCTCACTCGCGGGAATCCCCAGCATCGCATAGCTAGGTGTAATTACCTTCTATTGTTGCACTTTCACCCCATAAAGTGATCAATGGTTTACGATGTGGCGCTGAAATATGTCAACTTTAAGTTCATACTGTTAAACAAATGGAATTTAATGAGGAGCTTAATGAGGAACAGGGGAAATCAATCAGGATTCCAGGGATCGCTTATCGCATCTCGATGAATGTGTTCGCATAAATACTTAGTGGATGTTGATTTGTCGATACAGAGTGTTAAAATTACTGGAGAAATCCGTTTCGAAACAAACACTTTCAGTGCCGAAAATGAAATTAGCGACGAAAGACTCGTATGAACATAGCCGATGAATGTTCATCAGAAATACAGCCAGAGGTTGTGAGTTTGATGCTTAATCGATTGTTGTTGTGTCTTGTTCTGTGCAACGGAGAACAACGTGAACAGTGTGGACAAAAAATGCTCATTGGATTGTTTACAGAGCACTGAAAATGAAAAAATTCGAGGTTTTTCTCACGATCACAAACCTTGGCAAAGTGCAAAACTTTTTAAAGTTGGGAAATTCAACTCTCTTTGGATTCAGTCTTATACTGCTTCTCAGGCAGAGACGGTTTGTTCGTAAGTGTCTTTTCACTCATCTGAGAACTGTGTTCAAGATTCTGTGACTCATTCACTGCGGTATTGCATTACCACTGTCGCAGCAGTCGAAAAACTGCCAATAATTGTCACCTGCTTAATGTTGTCGACCGTACTTATGTCATTAATCCATCGTCTACATCGTATAGCTAGGTGTGAATATAGTGATATGACTGATTTTATATTTGAATGTATTAGGTATTCTGTGATGTTTATGGATATATTAGGACTAATATTTCGCGACTCTCCCACTAAACTGCACTCGCATTCGCCTCATTCTTAAGTCTTTTTTTTTAAGAATTTGGACGACTGAACTGAGTCCGTGAATTCGCCGTCGCAGAATGAATGACACAAGCACAGAATTGACAGCAACTGACATCGCTGTTGGAGTATCTTACATAATCTACGCCGGCATTGGAATTGTCGCGCATTTATTTGAGATCATTGCTTGCGTCAGACTGACAAAAGATTATATCACGTTCTCATTTTTCGCTCAACAATCGTTCGCTGAAGTGCTTCTGCTCTTCCAGTACGGCATTTGGGAAGGAGCAGTTATTCTGGCGAACAGTGAAATCACAACACCTCATGAAAGAATATACGTATACGTTTTGACAAATTGGACCTGGTCTGTCGCTATTTCTACCATAATTTTCTACATTTTCTTGTGCAAAATAACCCTAATTTTAAGTTCTTCGCGACTATCGCTGTGATCAGAAAATGGTCAGAATTATTATGAAATGGGTGTGATACATCCCCTGAGATACTGCGCGTTCCTGCCGCTGGGGATGAATTGAATTGCATGTTGTAGATTCCTGGCTGGCGATTCGCCTCTGAAAACTTCGATGTTGAGAGAATCGCCACTAAAAGATTCCCTCGCAGAAACATTTCACTCCGGAATGTTCACCTCCGTATTATTTCTCCAAGTGCATATGACCCTCCGAATTATTTGCCACCCATCATCTAATGAAATATGTTATATTAGGTATTTCAACGATTCGAAGNTAAATGCAAATCATACTTAATTAAAATCCCTGATATAACTTCTGGATGTCAAATTTATCTGCGAAGAACCTTACAGGGTCATGCATTCCAGTGGCGAGGCTTTCATACTGACCATTAACATTGCGCAAGTCGATTTTGAGTGAGCATTAAATATGTGCCACAGCTGCCATCACAAAATGCTGTGATACTGATGTTCGATTAACAGAGTTTTTTGTTGAAGGTGGGCATCCAGTTATCTGTCGGTTGCGGTTCCAACCACTCGCTTGCTCTGTGTTGTGGCACCAGTAACTTTTCGTCGACTGACGGCGCAGCTGTGTCATCTTATTTGCTTAGCTGTATGGCTAATCGCGTTATTGCAATCCTACGCTGCCACACTCTTTCCATGGTATGATGCACTTGATAATTTCATCCAATGCCTGTGAATAATTTCTCATTTAGAGCAACTTCAACTAGACATTGATTTTTCGACAAAAAATTAATCTTGTTTTGTGCCCGTAAAACTGATTTCCACTTCACCATGATACCATCCATAAATTGTACTGAAGTTTGTTCTTTCGATGGTATCGGCCGTCCAATTTAGATGTTAATAAGTTTGCTGTTGTTGCCCTCTAAGATGACGACCGTTTTTTTGACAAACGACTACTTTATGTGATGGGCAAAGTATTACGAACTTGATTCCTTTGTTCGCTATGAAATATTGAAATGTTGGGACCGATCTTGTTAAAGCGATCTCGTCTGAAAGAATTAATCAGCATATTACAAACTGATCATATCGAATCTTAATATGCAGATTAGTTAATTGCATCTAGCCGGTCACCAAATGTCATGCGATGAAATTTTTATCACGTCTAATTCAAACTCCTAATCATCCAGCATTTGGAGNAGTGCAAGCGTGCAAATGTTTGGCCATGTTTGCAAACGGCCTTGATTATCACACTCTCAAACAAGTGAATCAAAAAGAAAAGAAAATCCACTGCTCTGTTTCATTTCCACCTGATCATGCTGTCAGAGCTACCATATTCGTGTGGTTATCATGATGGGATATCAATAACAATTAGAAACGTATGGTTATGATTGGGAATCGACGATAGCGAAATTGCATTAGCGCAATCAGCGTTGAAACCAAAAGTATTGCTGTGGAGGATAATTCCCACACACTATCTCCAACAATGAAGTGAATAAATTTTCACATAAATTTTGTCATTGAATCAACAAGCGAATTAGTGATTTTTTTTTTGTAAATCACTTGGTAATTAAGTGGCGAAGTTAAGATAAAGGGATAGCTGAGTTCGAGTCATTAGTTCACGAGCTATGCACACTGATAGAATTCCATTTCAGGTTTTCTGGAATGTACTTCGATCCTCGATCGTACGGCATGGTTGCTGATCGAGTAAAGTATGCATACAGTGGAACGGAAACTTACTATCTGACTTTCAACATTTTAGTCATTTTCAGCAACCTGACAATTTATACGATCATATTCATTTCATTGACGAAGATGGCACGTGCACGCAAAACGGCTGTTGTAAGTGCTTCATTGTATTGTTTGTCCACTGAAACGTTTCGCATGTTTCCAGCATAACGCGTCATTTTAACACAACATCAATTTTAGCAGAACAAGTTAACTATGTTCTAAGCAATTAGTTGACTAAGCAATTAGTTGAACTAAGCAATTAGTTGAGTTGAGTTCGATTGTGCTAATTCAGTTACTTAATGTAACGTAAGCAAACATAATCAAACTTAACTCAATTAAGCAAAGGCAATCATCGCGACATGTTAGACATGTTTCCAATGGAAACATGCTTATGAAATCGACTTATCCCATTGACAAATCCCGAGCAGATCCAACAAAACAATGCAAGGCAGTGATTTTCTGAAGTAAAATATTCTTGGGTCGAACGTGGTAAAAATTGGAACATACCGAATCAATAAACGGTCGAATCAAGTCAGTTTTGCAGCAGATCAAGCCATCTACGACACGTTTGGTAGCTGATAGGAAAACGACGATTGATGGTGCTGCATTACCAGCTCAGGTGAAGCATGAGAGGGTGAAAAGCTCTGTTGAATTCGACTTGCTCATATCCTGCTTCGTCAATTGGATTGTCACCGTAATCGGTCGATAAATATTTTCTTCTGCTTATCATCTTACACACTTAATACATCGATAAAACAGGTCCAGGAGGTCCACCCTCACTCCACGCTTTCAACCAGCATTCGTTTACGCATGACCGTGGTTCTATTTTCAAAGAAAAAATAACTTGCTGGCTTAGGAAGAACTTCATTTGCTGATTGCCGTTTTTTCCGTTCTAGCTGGCTGTAGTTGAAAATTCTCAGATTGTTCCCGAAATTTTGAAATACATCACAACGACTACTTCCACTGCCATTCATACGTAGTCACCCATAATGTTTTGTTTTTTTTTCATATTTCATTATAATAGTGATGTTTTTACGGTCGATTCTCTCGTCCAGTGATAACCACATTGAAGGCTGATCATCGACTTTTTTGTCAGCAGTTATTTAGCTCCTTTCTACATGAGTTGGTCGAATACAGTTGACGCATTTATTTTTCTTATTTCAGCTATAGTGGCCATAAATTTCGTGGCACTTCCACAGCCTTGGCAAGGATTCTTTGTGACTGTCCTATTTCTGACGCTATGCTGGATCAGCTTCCTGTCTCGATTTTTCCTTAGCACTGTTCTTAGAAAGGCGTTTCTCAATCTGCTACTTTGTCTACCTAAAATGGTTGGTTTCCTTTTTATTATCGGCAACACAGTTGCTGAATAAAACGGATGCGCAATTGTAGCTGTCTGTGCTTTACTCAGTCAATCTGACAAATTATCTGACACTATCTGCAACTGGTGAAAATGAGAACATTTCAGGTAGCTGGTACAATGACGTCGATTAAGTTTCATAAGTGGAACAAAGCAACATCGCTCGTAACAAAATCGGCTGTATGGCGCATTTCGTGACGCATCACTGCGGATGGAAGGCACTGACGAAGACTCAGAAACATTGTCAGGGTTGTTTGTGTGAGGGTCGAGCAGTATCGCTACCGAGCGATATTTCTGGCGACGGAGTTGCTGAGTAAAACGGATGCGCAGTGGTAGCTGTGCTTTATTCAGTCAATTGGAAAATGTTTAATGTGTGCAAATGGAACACCAAAAGCCGCGAACCAGTTCACTCATCAATCATGAATTGACAAAGCGACATTACGATCATTTCAAAATCCGGGTTCGTAGTTCACGTACAATTACCAAATGTGATCACATCCTAATGAACGAATTTGCCGTTGATGAATAAAGAGCTGGCATCGAAATAAGATTGGTTTGCTTCGCCTTCAATTTGTGAATTTAAAGAAATTCTTTTCATAAATTTCGTTACGAAGTCATACTTTTGATCTCGTCGAAGCATAACTTGTGAATTCGTGTTGCTGTGAATAGCTCAAAAAATTTTGAAATTTGTACGGATTCCGACCGAATTGAAATTTCTTAAGGTATCATCACTGAAGTTACAAGGGGGGGGGATATACCGCAGAACTGCGCTCTTTTTCGATGTGGACTGAAGAAAATTGAAGGGGAGAATGACGGAATGGAACGGGAGGGACATATACCCGGGGAAGCACGATTTATATTAATATTCTTCAACAACACGTGACAACATTCGTTTGAATGTAGCACCTTTCATTATTATAATGTCATAAGCATTGTAAACAATAACATATCCGGTGTGTGGTTATTGTCGTTAATGAATTGTTTTGCATGCTTGAAATCGATATGTTTAGCTGAAATATGTTTTTTAAACGCGCTGTCAGTTTTCATTGAAATATTTTACCTTTATATTTGATTTAAATTCAAAGATTCTTTTCTATTTGTTGATTATTTCTCTATCCATCAGCTGTTTTTCAAATGAAGGGTGTTTCTTTTCTTGGAATTTTTTTCCAGTTGGAAGGTAGTTTTTTTTTGGAATTCCAAAAACGTTGTTTTTATACCAAAATTACTTTACCATGTTTTTTTTTTGATTTGATGTATATGTTCCTAACTTTTAAAGTACACATCCTTGCTGTTGTGATATTTTGATAAATGTTTGGTATGTCGCCTAAAATCATTCGCTAATATGGATAGCTTGGGAGGGGATTTTCTGCACTCTTACAATGATGCTCGGAGTGTATACACCGCACTTCATATATCTTGCGATTGTGTTTGTTATTTCAGGAGGAAATGAATCGAACAATTTCTCGAAAATTGTTTATTTCCGAAACTGTAATACTGGTGACTTTACAATTTTCGGTCAACAACGCCGTATAAAACTGATTTGATCAATTCTTTCATCGAGTTATACATCTGATCATTCGCTACTGCCTTTTGCGACTTTGCTAATCCCTTACTCACCGTCGGTTTTCCAGATATCGGCGGGCTATACTCATCATAATGAATGCTCTGAAATATCAAATGTTAATGACTTCTCAAAGACAGCTGCAATGAATGCTCACCACAATGCAAATCATCAACAAAAATGTCCTAAAGAGCGATTATCATCCAGGAAGACAGTTCGTTTCGCGCAACATAAAATCAATGAATTTCTTCATTGAAGTAAAGTCGTTGAATGATGTCGTAGTTGTGCTTACACTAGTTCAAAATCTGTTCTTAGTACTGTTTTCGAAGCCAGCATCGAAGTCGCAAAAAAAATGTTTCCCATCATGGGATTGATTCCCTATCGAAGTGAAAATCATTTCGACAGTCAATGTGTTAGGACCATGCATGAAATGATTGCTGTTTTTTATCTGAACCGATGCTAAAGATTGCTGCTGCGATCAATTCGCAGCAACGTCATTGTATCGTTTTTGCCATTTTATGAAGAGTAACAAATAAATTGTAAAGACATTTTGAAGCAGTTTGGATTGACGTTTACAATTTGGATTACCAATCCCAATGATATTTTTGCTTGCAGTTCAGTGTCTTTCACAGTGTCCTATCAGTGGTCACACGCAATGTTTATTGTGTACGTTTGTAACGGGAAATTTTACAAGTTTTCTTTTTCGAAACGCATTTCACTGATCAGTCAAAGTTTCATCAGGTCAACGTAATAAGCCAACTTTTTCATTGACGAGATTCTTTTTGTGTCCTCAAAACTCTGGAGAAATTATCCCTGCTCCTATGCCAACTTTATACTTTCTCAAAAATACGATCGATTTGCCTATTTCGAAGTGACCTAAACAATTGAGCATTGAAGCGAGTTTCAAATCGCCTCAAAATATAATGAAGAAATTTAGTATGAAGCAGATAGAGTGTATGCAATTGACTGATTGTGCCGCGTTCATTGGACTAGAACATTGCTTAGTTTATGGCATTGAAATTTATGTTCAATCAGCTATAAACCTCTAGAGCGTGCCTAATTGAGCAAAAATTCATATTTACATGCAGTAAGCGAGACACCAAAGCGAGTGCACCATGGCAATCACAAATTCTTCGTCCGCAATACTTTTTATGAGTAAATTCGTGTTTTCTCACTCTCATTGCAGCACACAAATTGATCCTCTTCTTTGTTTCAGTACTGTGATAGTTGAGTCAGAAGAATGCCCAGAAGTTATAGCATGAGCTTCACGAAACTAACGTTCAATAATTTCTGATGACGAGCTGTTCTTAGCAAACATTGCACTGGACTGAAAAAACATGAACGAGACAACGGCAGTGCTTCTTTTGCGTTAATCTGCAAGTTGATCTCAGCTGATCTTCAACTGCGCACCACAATGAAGAGAACCTCGATTTTTCTTACAGTCACATATGTCCGCATGAAAACATTCGCGAAAAAGTTCGATTATTTTGTTTTTTCATTTGCAAATATTCTCATCTCATTCAGGAGCAATCGTTCAGATAAGTTTGATGAACGAGTATTTGAGATAAAATTTATGATCAATGAATTCAACAGGCAAGTTCGTACGCAACAGTAACGTAATATTCGAGTGCTAACGGGCAAAGAAAGGAAATTGTTAGGTAAGAACCGCACTTTATGCCGATTGGCGAACACTTCAGCTGCATGAGCATCTTCACCAAACTGATTCAAAACATCGTATAGTTCGACATCATTGGAGTTGAACAATGGCTTTTTCATCAGCTCCATCCGGTAAACGCTTCGCCTGAACATCACTTTCACCAGTTACAATCATAATGACAGTAATTTCAGTTTACTTCCAATGATTGCTGAACCTGTTCGCATCTCCATTCTCACTAACGTATATCGAGAAATGCTTTCTGGAATAAGCTGTTGAATGCTCATTGTCGAGGATCCCTCTAAAAAGTAGCAACCGCCCACTTACTTTGTGCACATTTCCTCTCCGAAACTTTCCAGTTCCGAGTAATTTCTTTCGCACGAATAAAATCTATAGCAAACTGTTATTTACCTGCGCTGTTTGGATTTAGCGAATGCTCCGTGCAGCAGCAACCATGGAACTGCAAATAGTATCACCAACATTCTCCTGAAAATGATTCTTTCTGATCATGGGCAATGATCATGTTCATCGCGGTTTAGCGCATTTTCTATGAATACGAACAATTTAGCGCACATTCGCTTTCCTATAAACAAATTCATTCTGTGGACGACCGGAA